CCTGTCCCACCAGATGGCCACCTACCTGGTCCCAGGGGAGGCCGCTTCTGACTGAACCCAGGGTGAATCAACCGGGGCTCTCAGCAACCACGAGTGCCGATGTATGGGGGCTGTAGAAAACTGGGGTGCTACCGGTTTTCTACAGACCTCCACCCCCCTCTGGGCAGGGAGGAGGAAGCCGCCTAGGACTTCTCTTATTGCAGAGGCTGCCGCAGTAGAGGTGGCGACAAGACGGGGAGAACTCGCAGTCACGCCCCAGCCCCAAGCCAGCAGCAGGGGGAGGGGCCCTTAAATTCCTGGCCCGCCCGTCCCCACTTGCCTCCTCCCCCCGGTTACCGGGGCGGGGGTCGGCTCTTCCAGTCCTCTCCTTGCACCCAGCTCCTACCCCAGATCTGAGCCCCCAGCACAGTCTTTTGTAAAGGCCCTCTTCAAAGGGGCACTTCCTCACCCCGTTTAGCACCTGCTTCCTTAGAGTCGTTTCATTGAGGATGAGAGAGGCTTTTTTCTCTCACTGAAACCCCCACTTGCTCTTTCGCAGCTGGAAAAACTGAGGCTAGATGGGGATAGGCCTTATCCAAATTCTCACATGCAGGTGACTTCAGACTGCTGTGGCCAGAGCCACTGTGGATCCAGTCACTGACCTTGTGATTGGGGCTGAGCTCTGGGGTACAGGGATGTCCCATGGTAGGGAGCATTGGGAAACCCTTCCCTTGGGAAACTGCTTCACAGAGGACTCAGCCCCCAGGCCATACTGTGGGGGATGGAGAAAGGGGGAATCTGCTTCCAACATGCACACTCTGTTTAGAATGAATATCATTCTCTATCACAGTTTCAGCCTTTCCAATCAATAGAGGTCCTTGACCACCCCCAACCTTCTTCAGTCTTAAAGGAAGGAGCATGGAGCCTCCCTAGTGGTGCAAGGGGTTAAGTCTCAGCATTATGAGGCAATTGGAAGCCTCAGTAAATCCTCAGCCAGGAAGGTGACCCACATGGAGCAGCCTCTCCTGTCTCACCTACTGCTCCCCTCAGCAGTTCATTTCAGTAGATCCACCTGTTCTGCTCCCCACTCTGTCTCTGGTGAATCCTCTCATCCCCTGCTCCTCAATGGTCTACACTCCAGATCTTGTATGCATAAATAAACAAATCTTAAAAAAAAAAAAAAAAAAAAAGGAAGGCCCAGGAAAACCTCTCCTGACTGGGGAGGAGACACCGTGAATCAGCATAGATGTCTGTGTGTGTAATTGTGGGCAATGAATACAATGACTGCAATTTTGGAATCAATAACTAGGCAGGCACATGTGTCTCTAAGTATGAACAAAGATATGTGCAAATACCTGTGTGTGTGCACATACACACTATGGTGTGTCCCCATGTGATTGTGGGGTGCCACAGCACAGAGGGATGCAGTAAGAATGCTTTTGTCTCAGGAGAGTGGGGGGAGGGGCTGGGAGGAAGATACAGGGTGGAGGTGTAAAGACTTTGGCATTACCCTGGCTGGCTATTGGTTCTGAGGTTCCATTAACAAGTGAACACTTATGTGACCTGTCAGGAACACAGAGACAAAAGAGACTGCTCTGGTCCCGTCCCCACAATCTATCAGGCTCTCTGTCCTCCTCCAAGGCCAGGCTCCTCAGGAGGCCTCCCTAATTGCCACTCCAACCCCAGCAGAGCATTCTGCAGGATGACCACTGGTTCCTGGGGTATAGAGATGAGGAATATATTTTCCTCAAAGGCAAGGACAGGTTCTGGCTCTTGCTAATGCCCTGAGGGTCGGTCACCAAAGTAGGGGGTTCTCTGGATATAGGCATGCATCAATCAATCAAGGAACAAAGAAATCCACAGGTGAACAAATGAAAACCCATTGGAAAAATAAGTAATTGAAGGTAAGAATTAAAGAGGGAATGAAAAAATTCAAGACATGTGGCTAAAAGAGCAAATAAACAGATGAACAATACTGCTTCTGCTCTTTAAGGTACAAACTGGGCCCCCTAAACTCCTTGCTATCACCCTCTGTTGCCTTACCCCTCATTTTGCTTGAAGTAAAATAATAAAAGAGTAAAATACAAACCTTTGTCACGGCCTCCTCTGGTGGTGTGGCTGGCCTCTGCTCACTCCTCTAGTCCTGTCTGGGCCATCTCCCATTTCAGTCACACTGGAATCTTTTCCAGTTCTTAGAACACACTGAGTTTTTGCCTCAGGGACTGCACGTGCCATTTCCTCCTCTCAAGACATTCTTGTAGTTCTTTACAATTCTGGCTCCTTTCTGTCCTTTGCAGAAGTATCTTCTGAGAGACGCTGGCCTGGACCACCCAGCTAGGGTGGGCCCCGGCTTCTTTGGTCTTGGCAGGCAGTTGACCTGCTTTGTGGCAGTTAGAATCTAAAATTGTCTGTAGATCTCTCTTGACCAGATCAGGACTCTGGCCTCAAGAGAAACCTGTTATCCCTCAGGACAGTGACTCAGGATCTCTCATCCATCCCTCCAGAATAGCCTGATGATTTTTCAGGGACACAGATGCTAGGCCCATAAACCTAACTTATAGACCATCTCTCTCTCTTCCTTTTCGAACTTCATAATGAGAAAAAGAATCGAAAACCTGAAGAAGACATCACAAGATTAAAACCTGACTCACGCAAGGAGGTGGGGGCAGAAGGGATTAACATTACCGTTAAACCAGTCATAGATGACCCTTAGTGCCTTGTCACAAGGCAGACGGCCCAAGAGGGTACCAGACTGCTGTAGGGACGATGGGAAACAGACCTGAGGGTGAAGATACAGGGATTGGGCCCATTGTGAGATTTCAGATCCTTTATGATTCCACAGTAATCCAAAATCAGCAGCCAACAGGCCACTCCACAAAGGTGTGAGCCCCTCCCAAACAGAAAAGGACTTTATCAGGGCAGCCTCTGCCCTGGCCCGGGCCAGCAGTCCTCTGCCCATCTGTGCCTATGCAGGCGCTTTCCACCCCCTCTCTCCTCTACAGGGCGGCAGCCTCCTGCCAGGCCCTCCGTGACCTGCCTACCTGCCGGGGCTTCTCTGCACTGACCTCCCTCAGCAGAGGCCGCTCTCCTCAGGCCTCCTGCCTGGGACCATGAAGGCCGCTCTCAGCAAACCAGTCCCTTTCGGGGCAGCTCTTCCTGCCTGCTTGTGCCTATGCAAGTGTCCTTTATTCCTCTGCCCTTTTCCCTAACAAACCTCCTTTTTAAAATATAACTAACATCTCTGTCTCATGGAGAAACTTGCCTGGAGAAACTCCCCATGTGCTGCTGAAAGGGAGCTCTAGGGAAACCTTTCCCAGAGCAAACCCAAGGACCCCGCACTAACAATAAACACAACATCAGTGACACTGGACACGTTATTTTTTTTTTTAGAAGACGGCATACGAGATGTCGAGCAGTGACTGGAGTTCAGACGTGTGCTCTTTCGATGTTGCTGTCTAGTAGTATGGGACAGGG